GATTAAAGTACTGGAAAGTCATCTAAAGTAAGTAAGTAATGGTAGTTTTTGATATAGTAAAATGCATGAACGTTACTGACATTAAGTAATGTCCTGTATAATAAAAGGATTTTTTTAATGTGTTAATCCAGTAAAGCAATTGCGCAGTCTTTATTTTGGGATGTTCTTGGTAGGTACAACCCTTCCATTTTATTATTTAATCCCCCAAAAATGTGTGTATAAGGAAGAAATATATTTTTTTATAATATTTTTTTGATTTTATTTATTTATTTTTTTCCCCCAAAGCCCCAGTAGATAGTTGTATGTCACAGCTGCACATCCTTCTAGTCACTGTATGTGGGACACGGCCTCAGCATGGCCGGAGAAGCTGCACACCGGTGCACACCTGGGATCCAAACCCGGGCCGCCAGCAGCGGAGCGCGCGCGCTTAACCGCTAAGACATGGGGCCGGCCCCTGGAAGAAATATTTTTAAAAATATAAAAATAGGTTTCATTTTACTACCTTGGATAGATTATTTCTATTGTTAATTTTGTTTTTAAATAATTAGTTTAAATATGTCACCTGGGAGGCTTATGTCTAAAAACAGACAAGATGACATAGCTTAGTGGATACTCTCCCTGCAGTGACTCAAAAAAAAATGCATGACTTTTTATCTTTCGTGAGCCTGTGTCTTGTGATATATAATAGAACATTCCTCTTCCATCTTCAGTCTTCATCCAGGGCCTCTATAAGTATACCCCCAGGATGTCCAGGAGAGGTAGCTTTTTTAGGTGATGGGAAGAAGCAGTTCAGTTATTTTGGACCTCCACAGGTTGTCTCTGTCTAGCCATCTTTATCTCAATTTGTCTTTCAGTCTTTCTGTGTCTTTTATTCTCCCTTATTTTGCTCCTTCAACCCTCCACTTCCTTCCAGCTCAGCTCTATGTCATGGTAATAAAGAACCAGCCAAGTCCGACTCATGTATGTGTGTGTTTTAGCTGAATCATTCCTACAGTTATAAAATTATTAAACTCTCCCTCACCACTAAACCAAAGAATATAATCAAAGATTTTGTTCATATTTGTCCACCTAAAATGTGCCACAAATTATATGAATTGGAGGATATTTAACCCAGTTAATCTGAGGAAGGAAGAAATACTCAAAATAACCTCAGTGAAAATACAGTCCTGTGTTTCTTTAGTACATGGTACACACAGGACAGAGATACAGCCAAGACTTTTTGCCACAGAACCTTATTTAAAGACATATTGTATTATTTAAGGTACTTGGGGTGATCTTATTCTTACATCTGCATACTCCACCATAGCACACCCAAGAATTCATCATGATGAAAGGTTTCATCTTTTCCTCTAAAGCCATTGTACCTCTCCGTGCTCCTGATGTACATAGCATCCTCTATCATAAAACTAGCTCATACCAACTACAGTCACACTCCACATAACAACATTTCGGTCAACGATGGACCTCATATATGCCAGTGGTCCAATAACATTAATACCATAGAGCCTAGGTGAGTAATAGGCTATACCATCTGGGTTTGTGTAAGCACACTCTATGATGTTCGAACAATGATGAAATCGCCTAACACTTTTCTCAAAACATATCCTCATTGTTAAGCAACGCATGACTGCATTCAGAATTTTCAGCCGAAAACTGAATAGATGGTTCTAAGACTTTGATCACATTCATGACCAACTTCTTGGTCAGCTCAGAGAACCTATTCCAGTTAGGCCTGTTCCCCACTTCAGGTGACCCATTTCCATTGTCTTGTGACTATGTATTTGCATCCAAAGATCCATTTTAAAGGAGTTAATTGCATGCAGTCAGGATCCAGTGGCTCTGTATAACTCAGGCCAATCCATGTCTGCTGCAAAGCCAAATTAATAAACCTCAGAGTCACACACCAGGTCTTCCTAAGGTGGCAAAGTCATTCTAGGCTGGACACCGAATTGCTGCCTCCAAGTTTCTAGTACTCCCCATAGCAGGTTTTGCTGAGTGTTCACAGAAGAGTGGTTATGATTCAGACCTTCTGCTTCCTGAACTCATTAAAGGAGGCCAGACTGATGGGCCAGTTCTAACTCAAGGTTGGCAAGCACATTTCATTTATGGGTCAGATCCAGCCAATGAAGATAAGACTTCAGGCTCTGGCAGTATGGTAGACTACATGACTTAAAAGTCCTCTGCTAAAACATGTAGCAAGTGTAAGATAAAATATAGCATTTGCTTAAATGCATGGTGGAAAGTTAGAATATTGCCAAGGGACAAAAACTAAAAGAGAGCTGAAAACCAAAACAGTAAGGGCAGAGCAGTGCTGCAGCTGAGCTTCAGGCTTGGGTTTCAGGGCCCACCCCAGGAAAAAGATGGTCTTATGCCTTTGCCTGGGAACAACATCTGTTCAAGTTAGTCTGCTTGTTTGCTTCCCAATAGCCATGGCCAACGTATTTATTTTAAACTACTCCATGATCCTCAAAGGTAATTTCACCCATGCTTCTGTGGATATCAGTCTTCTTCATGAAGAGTGAGGGGCTTAGCATTTCACATAGCTACTTAACTGGCTCATCAGATTAAACTGATGCTCTCTGTTCCCTCTGTGCCTACTGACCTGGCACACCCATCACTCCAGCCATTTGAAATATATGCTTAACAAGTTTTGTTCCCAGAGCTCATAATGCCAGTTAAACTTAGTTTTGTAATTTTGAACTTTAATATTAAGGAAACAGATGAGTGTGAAAAGAAAGAGAACTGTTGTTTCTATGCAACCCAAGTTCTGTCCTTTGGAAAGACTAAAAATGGTGTATCAATTAAGATGTGAGCAAAACAGTTATAAAAGATTGGGCTAGGGGAAGAATTTAAAAATCTAGAAGAGCCATCAGTAAGTTTACAGAGACAATAGACAGCCTCACTCAATCTGGTGAATTGCTTTGTTCCTTGTTAAATAGAACAGGAATTTAAAGACACTTAAACTCTTGCAGAGAACGCTGAGTACAGAATCTCACAGGCACCTGTTTGTGCGACACCAGATTCTCTATAAAGTGCTCTTCACACTGTCCCTGTGCTGTTTCACCCCAGAGGCTTAGCTATAGTGACTGTCTATGATTGCAGAGAATACCAGTAACCAAAATAAAAGTATCACAACATAATAATGAAGCATACGGGCTTTGGGGCAAGGCAGACCTGGTTTGAATTTTAAGTCTGCAGTTTGTTATGTGTCCTTAGGTAAGTCATGAAACCTCCAATTCTCAGTTTCCTCATCAGACAGTAGGGATGATAATAACACAACCTTGCTCCTGGAATTTTTGTGAGAATTAAATGAGATAACATTTGGGGAGCACGTGGCGCTATGTCAGATACATTAGTGCTCTATAAATAGTAGCTGATAGAATTCCATTGTTCCGCTTTTCTAAAGCTTTCACTTCTCACCTTTCTGTCTTTTAAGACCTATCTGGATGTGTTTTAGAACCCAACTCCATAATTCTTTATGAATTTGGCTGCATAAATATGCAAGTTGCCTGTGTTCATTTGCTAGGGCTGCCATAATAAAATACTGAAGACTGGGTGGCTTAAACAATAGAAATTTATTTTCTCACAGTTCTGGAGGCTGGAAATACAGGATCAAGGTGTTGGCAGGTTTGGTTTCTTCTGAGGCCTTTCTCCTTGACTTGCCTTCCTGCTGTGTCCTCACATGATCGTTTCTCAGTGTACACACATGCCTCTGGTGTCTCTGTGTGTCCCAATTTCCTCTTTTTATAAGGACTAGTCAAATTGGATGAGGGCCCAGCCTAATGGCCTCTTTTTAACTTAATCACCTCTTTAAAGGCCCTATCTCTAAATGCAGTCACATTCTGAGGCACTAGGGGTTGGGCTTCAACATGAATTTTGAAGGACACAATTCAGCCCATAAAAATGCCACAAATAAATTATTTTCTAATGCATTTGAAAATAATCGTTTTCAGGAATAATAACCTGAATAGAAAGTATAGTTGAGGAATTTTAAGGTGTCTTTTAACCACTGAAATGCTGTGACTTTGCAGGATTCTCCATATATGACCTATATAGCAAGTTCATTTATTGTGCATAGAAAATATTTAAGAGGTTCAGTTTAAGGTTTTATAAATTGACATATAATATTTTTAAAGTATAATCTCTGATAATGGGCTACAAATATTTTTTAAAACATTATTGTTGACAAATAGCTGTTTATGTCATTCATTGGGCAAGGAGTTAGGGAAAATTTACATGTATACCATAGGTGTATATAAAATCAAATAAAATATTTATTAACTGAGCACCTGTTTGGGTAAAGCACTAGGCCAAAGGTTAGGGGCAAACCTAGAGAAGTCCCTGCTCTCAAAGAGTATTGATCTACTTGAGAAAATGCCAAAAATGTCACCAGCTGAGCTCATTTAATTGCCAGTTAAATGCTCAGTGTGTTCACAATTGCCTCTGAAGCCCAGAGTTAGGATTTTGAACTTATAATGATTAGCTACCATAACATTGGGAGAAAAATAGACCCAGAAGGTCTCACTGCAGCCTTCAGGACAAATGGAAGGAGAGAGACCCATGAGGAAGTACTGTGATAGCACAGTGGTGAAGAAAGGGTGCTCTGAGGAGAGTCTGACCAAGAGCAGTTTCGAAGAATACCACATACCCCTGTTTTGAGACTAGGACAGTGATGTGTTCTACCCGATCGGCAAGTTAAGTTGAACTTTGAAGCCGGGACCTATATATGATGGTGGCATTATTGTTACAGTGACTGCTAATGAGATGCCCATGATTATAAAACATGATAGTCGGGTACTGCCAGGTATTCGTGAGAGAGCCTTGCCGTAAGTGAAATGCAAGAAAAACCTTCATTTACCAAAGGAAAGATGTCTCAAATCTTTACTTCTCCCCCACCTGTAAAGAATATTTTGCTTCCTTTTAAACAGTGATAATGACAAAGATGACTGAAATGTAACCTGAGAAAATTCCTGGTTTAATATGTATCTTTGTTCTTTTAGGCCTCTTTTTCGTGGCAGTTCAGATGTCGACCAACTAGGAAAAATCTTGGAGTAAGTAGTAACTATACTTTTACATCAGTGTCCATAGCATTAAAACATTGACAGTGACTTTCCTCTGATGTTCATATAATATGTTTATCTCTTATCTTTCCTACTGCAAGCTGCTGCTGCAGGCAGTGTTACTATTTGTGTGGTGAGTGGGGACATGGTAGACGTGCTGTTTTATGCAGAGCCCATCATGACGTGTGGCCTAACCGCTCTGCTCTGGAAGCTTGTATGTTGCTCGTATGGATCTTTTCTGTGCTCCTCTTTCTTCACTTGGCTGAGCTCCAGTTCTTTAGTTCAAATGTGTTGTCTGCTTGGGGTCATTTCAGATGCATCCACTATCAGAGGTGGGGTGCTTGGCGGCCTAGTAACCCATCCTTGCCCACTGGGCTTCCAGTCCTCATTGAGTATCCTTTAGTTATCCAGGTTGGTTTTGCATTGTTTTGTTTTGTTTTCCTGGCCAAAGGATGGTATGCTACACAATCCATTTTTCTTTGGAGCACCAAAATAGGAAATGAGAATCCTAGGTTCTAATCCTACATTTGTGACTAAATAACCATACAATCTTGAGGAAGTCATTTAAAATACCCTGTAAAGGGCCTTCACAGTCCCTGGTACGTAGTACATGCTTTAAAAATGTTAGCTATTATGGTTCATCATTAATTGTTTCACCTTTTTGTTCCTTAACTTCTTCACCTGAGAAAGGAAACTTTGGACTTAAATTCTCTTTAAGATCCTTTCTTGTGCTCAAATTCTTTGGTTCCAGTTATCTGTTACATTGCTCCTTGATGATTTGCAGAGTTCCACTCATGTCTACGTGTTTGTGCATGTGAGGGTATGTGTGCTTGCATATTTCCAGAATGTTAAGAAGGGGCTTTTCTTCTCACAAAGCATGCAGTATGGCATCTTTTTGGGATTTGTGCATTTGTTAAACCCCATCAGAATTGGGATGGAGTAAGAAGAAAGTGGGAGTTCTAGAACCGAAAATAGCCCTGATCGTTGGTCTGTAACATTTTATAGGAATCCCAGTGATTTTTATGATGTTTGAAGTCTGTAAAGCTGGTGAAAAGTACCGCTAAAGAAAAGAATTATATTTTAACGCTATCTACTCAAGCATGACTGCTTAAAACAGTTGGAGTAAAACGGGGACCTGAGTTTGCTCTTTTGGTGACTGGAAGCAGCTCCAGTAGACTTCGGTTGGTGCCAGTGCCACTGCTGAGTCAGAGCCCGGTGGCTTTAAGGCCTGAAAAACATTTGCTAGTTTTATTGTCTGGAGGCTTCCCGGGTCCAGGGCAGCTGCTGCTCCTGCTGCCCCTACTGACCGTTCTGTAAGATGGAGGAATTCAGGGCAAAACTTACATGTTACTCTCTGCTTCTGGATGTCAAGTCCTTTGATCATTCAGTGATGAACTCCCATCTATTCTTCCCCATCACTGTTGAATAAATTTTGTGTGCATGTGATCTTGAAGAGGGAACTGTAAAAGTCAGACATACCAGTGACCCTCTGTTAAAAGGAAAAATGATCTTGACTGAAACCAACTTGCCAGACATTGAAGTCCTTCACCTGCTTTCCCTTCCCGACACCACCTGGTCATTCTGTCCACCTCCAGCACTGGCATCTGCAATCCTGTTAACATTGTTAGTGCCCCTTAGTATATGAAGCCAGTGAGATGGACCAGAAGGAATCTTTGACAAGCATGTTTGACTTGCTTCCAAAGGAAAGCCAGTTCCAGTTTTGGCAAAGGCCTGAGATCCTAGGTTGCCAGCAGAAAAGAAGCCATAAAGTTTCTCTCTGTTTTGTGCCTTTGGATTTTACTTCTTGATTTCTCATGTTGTTTCGTTGAAATTATGCTCTGTTTCCTCTGAATGCAATCATTACTTTGGCATAGAGAAAAGGGACAATGCTGCACCCTAGTGTCACTTCTGAAATACTTGAAAAATGATTTCTGTCCCCGCCATCACTGCCATTTATAGATTTTGTGCTCTGTCAGTCTTTCCAGTACAAATGTCAACTTTTAAGGCTTATATTCAGCTGTCCAAATAGTGAAATTTGATGCAAGCACTTTTTAATGGACCTATCAGAATTTCACAACATTCGTATATGGGCCGTAAAAGTTCATACTGGATATTAAACTGAATTTTTTTTAAAGAAAAGCCATATTCACATTCTCTTAAGGGGAAAAATGTTTCTATGTTTAGAAAGATTTATACTTTCAAAGAACAGCAAGTACTTTGAAAGTGAAACTGAATGCTTTTAGCCCGTGACATTTTTAGAGCATTTTTAAGAGCAGAGTCATACTTAAATGGAAACAAAATATTGGATTTGGAATAAGGAGAACTGGGTTCACTCTGGCCTCTGTGGCTGAACTCGCTATGTGTGAGTTTGGCAGTTCATTGCATCCCTTATCCTCAGTTTCCCCATCTATAAAATAGAAATAATAATAGCTGACCTACATGTATCATGAGGTGGTTATGGGAATCAGAGGAGGGGACAGATTTAAAAACACTTTAAAAAATTATATAAACAGTTATGTGTGTGTGTATATATATAATTATACACCACACATACATATAGATACAGGGATGCTCTGTTTCTCTGTGGGCTTTTGGCATTCAGCCACCCATACTGAAAGATTTAACTCAATATAGACATGTTTAAAGCTGCAAATAAAAACATTTTAAATTATTATTGTTATAATCGATTTCTAGGTGACGTGATGATATGCAAAAATATTGATATAAAAATGGCTAAAAATGAATGAAAGAAAAAAAATTTATTATGGTATAATTGACATGTAACATTATATTAGTTTCAGGTGTACAATATAATGATTCCATATTGGTGTATATTGTAAAATGATCACCACAGTAAGTCTAGTTAACATCCATCACCATACATAGTTACAAATTTTTTTCTTGTGATGAGAACTTTTAAGATTTACTCTTAGCGACTTTCAAATATGCAATGATACAGTGTTATTAACTATCGTCACCATGCCATACATCCCATCCCCCATGACATTTATTTTATAACTGGAAGTTTGTATCTTTTGAACCCCCTGGACCCATTTTACCCACCCACCCCCCACCTTTATCACCAATCTGTTCCCTGTATCTATGAGTTCTGAAACTCATAGATACATATATATATATGTGGATATATGTGTTTTGTTTTATTTGTTGTTGTGTTGTTTTGTTTTTTCATTTAGATTCCACATATAAAAGTGAGATCATAGAGTATTTGTCTTTGTCTGTCTGATTTATTTCACTTAGCATAGTGCCCTCAAGGTCCAGCCATATTGTTGAAAATGGTAAAATTTCATTCTTTTTTGTGGCTGAATAGTATTCCATCATATAGAATGAAAAATGTTTAAGTTCTTTAATAAGCATTCTTCTTTTCTTGCTTCACGTGTCCCATTCTATCCAACTACATACACATTTATTTCCTTTAATAATTAACAGTGGTATTTTTGTTTTCTTCTTTTTACTCTTATTCTTGTTTAATAGATCTTGCTATTAAACAAATTTGTATATTGCTCCAGTTGTCATTTCTATTCATTTGTTCCATTAAACATGTCCATGAGTCTGTCTTTATCTGCTTCAATAATGTGGCTCTCCCAGCACGCCCAACAGACATAGTATCACAGTGTCTTTCCCCAGACACCCAGTGATAGGTGCAATTATGACACTGGTGTCTGCTCTTCCCAGCTGAGGTCTGTGACCCAGGCTCTGTTGAGGGAAGGAAAGGGGAACAAAACCCTGCAGAAATCCTGTGATAGTTACCACCACATCTTCCTGAACACCAGAAATCCATCCAGGAGAACCCCCCTCCGGGGCCTTTGTCCCAGCGAGTGCAGACCAAGAAGACCCTGATGCCGGCCAGCACCATTTCTAACTGTAGTTAAAAATAGTTTGGTCAGAATAAAAAAATAAAAAAAAATAGTTTGGTCAGTATTTGAAAAGCCATATATTCTGTCCACTAAACTATAAATTTTTAGTTCAGATTAATCAGAGAGATAAGCTCTTGCATCCCCTGATTTCCCTTTTTTAAATCTACTTACCACCTATACATAAACTATAAATAATATATACATGATGTATAAGTTGTATAAGGCAAGGCCATTGACCTATTAATATCTCTAAAGAACCTTAAGTGACACATCAAGAGAACTCAAGTGGGTAATATTTTTAGTATGGTAGCTATGCATTGCCTGTGTTAGGTTAATAACATTATTTTCCTCTTATGATAATAATAATAATGGGTGATGTATTGATATTGACAAATATTGTGTGTCAGGCACTGTGCTACACACTTTCTATAAATTATCACAGGTGCAGAGTTTGAACCCAGGTCTGCCTGTTTCCAAAGCCTGTGCTGTTTTTATATCACTTAATGCTTTCTCCACATTTCTGATCCCAGAATGATTTTAAGGGGAAACATAAACGATATTTTTATTTATTGTTTGCTCACCTTGGAATACCATAAAATAGTTATGTAATATAAAATATATAAATTAACTTATATATATTAATACATTTATACATTTAATTCAATTACACACATTAATTTTACACAATAATATTAATTTAGTTAATTGAATTTGATATTAAATTATAAAATAGTGTTTGCATAACACAGGACTAATATACCTTTTAGCCTCATTTCTTTCATCTGATTCTAATGTATATAATTACTGTTTGGGGAATTATTCTTCAACCAAAAATGCAAACAAATTTATGTGTTAACAAATCATGTTAGATGAGCATCATAAAAGCATGTCAATACGGGAATGTTTGATAAGAAGACAAAAAGCACTCTTGGACATAAAGGAAAATATTATATGCCCATGTGGGCCTCCTATGAATAGATAGGTCCTGCTCTGTCAGTATGTGTCAGTATGTCAGGGCTTATTGGTAATATAATATTTTCCATATCTTTATTATCTCTTATATTTAGTATCTGCTGCCGAAGTAATCTCTCATCTCTTCCCGGTAAACTTCATGGTTCTCCTGTGAGATTACCCTCTGCCCCATGATCACCATAGTGCAGTAGGACAAGTCCTGCCAGTCATACAAGTGAGGGGCTCCTGGGGCTCTGTGTTCCCTGTACCTGTCCCTTAGACTTTACCTTCAAATTTGGTGAGAAAATAGCTTCACCGTGGCAGCAATGCTTATGTTCACATGTGGTTCTTTTGTAGTGTAATTGGACTCCCAGGAGAAGAGGACTGGCCTAGAGATGTTGCCCTTCCCAGGCAGGCTTTTCACTCAAAATCTCCTCAACCCATTGAGAAGTTTGTAACAGATATTGATGAACTAGGCAAAGACCTACTTCTGGTAAGTGCATGCGATAGAGAGTTGGTCTGCACTGTGCTGATGAGAGACTTGCTGTGTCCGCACTTGGGTGGTGGGCACAACATCAGTTCAGCATTGTGTGCCACAACCACACAGGGCAGCGGCCACAATCTCTCTGCAGCTTTCACTTCCACACGTGTAGAAGCTGATGGCTTTTGATTTTGCATTGTCTTCAGTTCCTATAAAAAGAGAAAGAGGCTGATTCACACTCTTTCAATCTGCCATCTTTGAATGTTCATTTGAATTCAGCCTTAGAATCCTCTGGATTTGTCTAGACATATGCTTCTCTAGAAGTAAATATTATGTTTCCTTGTTTACAGTTTCATGCTCTGTTAAGCAGCTTGTTTGTCATTTTAATGTGCCTTTTCTTAAATAGGCACATCTTTGGGAAGATGTTTTTCGAAAGGAATTGTATGGCAATAGTCTTTCTAGTTACTGATTTATTTAATAAATGTTGAATGTGCTGTGCACATATAAAATACCTCACTGAAAATAGGACTTCTGTGCCCTGTTTGAGACTCAAACTCATAATACTTAGCCTTGTACATAATTCCTTGTACTTGGAGGCCAGAACAATAGGTAGAAGAATATACCTATTGGCTACTCTTGATGTCTGGAATCCAGTGAATAAAGAGTATATCCTGTACCGATTGAATTAACAACCTTTGATATCAAGCGAAGAAAGTACTCCTAGATCCAAAGGAGCCAGTTCTCCCGTTCTGTCAATGTATTCTGAATTTCAAATATAGACATAAGAGTCCATAGGTCTTAGTAGAAATGTTTTGCCTCAGCTGTGTGGACACAGCCATTGATTGGCATGTTTGCAGAGCCATGGATCTTCCCAGTAAAAGCCCTGTCTTCACCTGATGTGGCTTATTTTCTGATGCTTAAGCCAAGAGTCCCTCCGCTGCCAAGTTATGGATAGGGACAGCTATATTCTCTCCCCACTGTTTATTTCTAAGATGCTCACTAAGGACCTTGGCTCACATCCTCTGAAATAAATTAATTAGAAGGGAGAATATTCACCTAGACAAAGGCTTACTATATATACACACTTGCTGGCTCACCTGCTATTTAGGAAAATTTTTCCTTGGTTTCAAATAACAGACATGTGCTTGTATTATCTTAAGAAAAGAGGGTTTGATGGAATGTTTCATGAGGCCTGGAAATGGAAAGCCATCCCGAGTGGAAGTTCTCTCCGTCCTGTGCATCACCTGCTCTTAAGAACTCTGCTTTTCTCTGCCATGAATGCCTTTTCTCCACCGTATTGCTTCTTTTCAGTCGTACTGTCTGCTCCCCTTAATGTTAGCTGTTCCCTTAATTATCAGAACTTCAGTTATCTCATGGATCCTCTCAGCTCTAACCCCCACTGCTAGCATTTGCCGTGTCCGTATTGCCTACATCAGATTCCTAATATGAGGATCTGGCTGACACACCTCACCTTTTTGCCCAGCCATGGTATGGGTTGCTACCTAGAGCCAGATCGCAAGTCTGGTTCAGTCAGCTGTGCTAGGAGTGGTGGGGATCACATGTTATAAAATATGGCTACCATAGGCTTTCCGTTTCAACAGGAACTTTGAATGAATGTTCCTTTTAGAAGAGGATTCCAGACAGACAACCGCAGTGATTAACAACTTTAGTAGTGAAATGTCCCACTCCTTCAGCTACCAGAACATCCAGAAACAACCCAAAATATCTCTTAGCTCCAACGTCAGTAGGAATCACCAAGAAGAACTTACACTGTAGAGATGACAATACCACATGCTCATTCAGGGTCCCCCACTAGCGGTGGGAGCTTTCAAAGTCAGACCACACACTAGTGCTAGACTGGAGAAGTAGCAGGAGACTAAGAAGAAAAAGGAACAAAGAAACCTACCAAAGAGAGAAGGAAGAGGGTGGGCAACAAGTAGCAGCAGAGATTAGAAAAAGCCAAAGAAAGGAATAAGAAGCAGAGCTGGTAACATCATGACTAGGGGAGACTTAAGCATAAAGCATAATATCCACAGGCATTCAGGGAAAGGACAGCCCATGACCTTAAAGCTTGGAACCCTCTGAACAATCTCACTGTTTCGTCCTAGAAGGACACAAGCTAGGACTATACAGCAGAAGAAGGCAGGCCATTCAGGACAAGATAGGCAGCTGAGACCCCAGCAGTACCTGTTGCCTCTATTGAAAATTATTTAGTACGGAAGAAAAGTGAAGGATGTTTTAGAAAGTTGTTTTATTTAATAAACAATTAACATTTAAAAGTTTAGGACTTTTTGAGTTATCTTCCATTTTTATCTGAAAAATGTTGACTTTATATAATGCCTCAGTCATATATGTCTGGGTATATATACATCGATATTTATAAATGCTGCTATGTACATAATAAAGTAGTGTACTATACCAAGACAATTCAGGGGAAGAATTATTTTTAACAGCCAAAACCTACATATCTTTACAAGTTTTGTCCCCTTCATCGTGATTAACTTGGGAGCCTGGGTACTTATTCTAAATGTATTAGAGTTCTTACTGTGTAACTGCTTTCAGAGCCTGAGGTACATTTTTTTTTTTTTTTTGGTCATTGTATTAGTCTGCTTTTGCTGCATAACAGACAACCCAAAAAATCTCCCTAGCACACAACAGTAAGCATTTATTTCTTGTTCATGGGTCTGCAGCTTGGTGGAAACAGCTCCGTGAGTCATGTGGAGCAGCTCTGCTTCAGCCAGTGGGTCAAGTACAGTTCTTCTCCACATGTCTCATTCTGGAGCTCGGGCCAGAGGGGCTTTGGCTCCCTGGGGCATGTTTTCCTCATGATAGGAGGTAGATGTTCCCAGAAGGGCAAGCAGAAACATACAATGCCCCTGAAGGCCTAGGCTTGGAAGAGGCACCCTGCCATTTCTGTTCATGTTGCATTGGCCAAAGCAAGTTACATTGTGAAGGCCAACTTTAATGGAAGAGAGAATACTCTTCCCATGGAGAGAGGGAAGGAGAGAAAGGGAATATGTGCTGAAAAATGATCTAATCCACTGTAGTAGTCAGCTCTTAAGTTGCAATTCCAAAAGCTCATTTTATACGTCAATTATTCAGCAAGTAAATTAGATTTTCTTGCAGAAACAACATTACACAAGATTTTTTAATTAATTCTCAAACCAGCCAACTGCTTTATTGAAGCAGAGCAATAAAAGAACTTAGCCACCTTTTCTAACAATATTTCTAAAGGACAAAATGTATTAAGACTTCCAACTTGAGATTCTCACACTCCCCCATATTAGGCTCAGGATTTCTGCTCTCTACCCTCTTCCCAGCTCTAAGCCATCAGTGTAGCTGTGGGGACAGGGTTTCCTCCCATAATCCTCTAGGGACATGTCTTTATCTTGAACATATTCCCACAACTGTTTTTTTTCTTTTTTCCTATGTCCTGGGAATTAAACTGGCTGCCTCCTTTTCTGATGCCCCTACCTAATTTTCTCCTTCTTGGACTCTGGGAAGAGAGAACTCAGGCTCAAGAATTTTGCCCCTGCTTTCCCGTGCTTTGGGAATTCAGCCCTTGTAAAGCTTTTCTCAAGATGTTTATGGCTATTAGAGGCAGACCATTCTACGAGCTCCTTCCCCTCCTTGCCCTTTGGCTCTTTGATTTTCAGAAGACACCATGGGGAGGCTGTCATCTATGGACTGGTAGGGAGCTCGGGATTAATAAGATTTCGGGAGACCCAAAAGTTCGCCTAAAGTTATATGTAGAATTTTCTGTTTGTACGTGTTTTTCTAGGTCAGTAGTATTCAACAGAGTTTTAGAGGAGTCCCTAATCCAATCAGGGCCTGACGAGGTGTGAGCTCCTTAATGGCAGAAACCCAGATTAAATGGAAGAGGTCTGCATAACCATGATAATGTTAAGTCTTTAGATTACATGGAGGACTGAAATTCATAGACATTTCAGATACCCAGCTCATTCAGGGGACACTGCATCATAAGGATGGAGAAGCTGGTATAGCTTCTCTGCTACTTGTGAGCTCCTGGGGCAATGGATGAGTCTTACTCATCCTTAATTAGTGCTTACCACCTGCTAGGCGCTCCGGAGGTGTTGGTGGAAGGAGAGGAGGAGGATTTAAAGAACAAGATTCACCTGGGGTTGGAGTGGAAATGGAACTGAGGTGAGGAAAATGCTGACTAAGTGATTATGTGTCACCCATTTGGGATTGGAGATCGCAGCTCCAGAGTTTCACCTTTCCTTCCTTTCTCCTTCTACTTGTGCTTGAGTTGACAGCCTGGAATAGAGTTTAGTGACTTTAATGGAATCTAATGGACTTACTGTAGGGCTGCTGCTAGCCCATATGGCACCTTGATGTGGATTAGAAGGAAGGCATCCCTTCCTCTGGGTGGTGCAGCCCTGGGGCAGGGTGCATGGCTTGCTAGTGGATCAGAATAATTAGGGTCTAGGTTTTAGCCCTTACTTGCCTCCTCAACTGAGCATGCTTGTTCATTAATTCCCCTTTACATCTGAGCAAGGCAACCCCCTGCCATTCCCTGCTCATTGACAAAACTTGGGGGAAAGTAAAAATTAGGGTGAAGACTGACTATAGCACTAAGTTTGCTAGCATTAGAAAAATCACTACCTAAATAAAGTTATATGCATGCTGCAATAATAATAATATCTTTTAAAGGACTGGGTGGCTTGGAGAGAAGTTCTGGGTAGGTAACAGTCCACAGGCAACCCAAAAGATGTTGCCTTTTCCTGAGGGGCAGTTTATACATTAGAGACATACATAAGATGAGTACTGTCTACATTTTATTTAGTGTCCCTTGAAATAGATATTCATTCTCATTATAGACACAATACATGGCAATGAATAGATGTATAACTGTGTAAGCGCATTATTTAAATGGATGTGTTTTATGTCAATCACTTATTTTTTCTTTATCACAGAAGTGCTTGACATTTAATCCAGCCAAAAGAATATCTGCCTACAGTGCCCTGTCTCACCCATACTTCCACGACCTGGAGAGGTGCAAGGAGAACCTAGATTCCCATCTGCCGCCCAGCCAGAACACCTCAGAGATGAATACAGCCTGAGGTCCCAGCCGCTCCCTTGAGCCGATCATCCGAAGACACCTTTGGTGGCTGATGGGTCCCCCTGAGTAAGCCGGGCAGAGCTGCTGAGGATCACTGGCTGGAGACCTTCTAGTTGCCGTCTTCTGGATGGGCTCTGCTTCTCCACGGAAACCGTCTAGTTTACTGTTTTGAAATCAATGCAAGAGCGATTGCAGCTTTATGTTCATTCATTTGTTTGTTTGTGTGTTTGTTTGTTTCAAGAACCTGGAAAAATTCCAGAAGAAGAGAAGCTGCTGACCAATTGTGCTGCCGTTTCATTTTTCTAACCTTGAGTGCTGCCAGTGTGAAGTGAAAGCTGAGTTATGACGTAATCTCTCTGCAGCTGCCGGAGCCTGATTTGGTACTTTTGAGTGAGAGAGTGTGTGTGTGCGCGTGTGTGCGTGTGTGTGTGACTCTTGATCTCTTAAAGTGTTACTTTCTGTAAACGACAAGAGTAATTGAATTTTAAAGACTCAAAGTTATGGATAAATAACAGATGTCTGTCGACTGAAGGTGTCTCACCAAAATGAGCTTCTCAAATTAGAAAGTTGATCCTATGTCCTCAGCATTTCTTTTCTGGCCAAAAGCAGTAAATTTACTAGCAGTAAAAGGTTCACTACTAGATGAGGTTTTATACACACAGCAAAAAGAAAAAAAAATTCTAGTATCTTTTAAGAGACCTGTTTTTAAAGCACACATTCTACTTACTCTTCAAAAAGCTGAATTTTCTCATTATAAGTCAGTTTTAACCTGTATAATATGCTTTATTGTTTTTTTTTGAAAAATACCCTAAGCTTTTCTTACTTGCTGTAGATTTAGAGAGTGTACCTCAAATAGGCAAAATTGTCAAAAAAAAAAAAATAGAGAGTCTTTATTTCCTGGTTTGGAATTTATTTCCTTTTTGTTTTTTGTTATTGTGTTTTGTTTTCCATTTTAGGAATTTGTCAGAAACTGTTTCCTGTTTTGGTTTGGAGAGTAGCTCTCTCTGACTAGAGACAGGAATGCCATTTAAGTTTCCCCACCTATTACACTGTACTTTTTCTACCATGCACTGCCTTGTTTGCAAAGTACCCATCTTATCTATCCCCCAGCGCCTCTAGTAGACTTGACTACCATTACATAACTCATAACAGATTGCTTACACTGTTCCCATGTACCTCCTCCTTTCTTTATTTCTTTCAATGAACCTTTCATAAACAGTTATATTCAGATTATGGTTTATGGCTCCAATTCCACAATCCTAACAGGGTCCCCTATGTTCTCACTCGAATGTGATCTTCCTACCCCGGCATTCACTGTTGTTACCTAGGCAATGAGTAGAAGACTGGCTCTTCTCTAGCACCAGCACATAGATTGCTTTAAACTGTTACTTAGTGTTTTACATTTTTATAGAATATATTGTCAGTGCAGTATCTGAGGGAATGTCCTTAACTATTTTTTAGAAATAGATATTTACTCTATAAGTGATCTTTTCTCCATCCCCCAGGCTGTGCTGTGTTTCTAGTGCCTTGCGCACACTCTTGCTCTCTGCAGAGCCAGCCTGACCTGGGCCTTGTGAACAGCTTTACTTTTTCTTTTGCTTTGTTCTCTACAGTACTTTATAGTCCATACCTTCTCTGCCTTATATGTGGTTAGTGCTCAGTCGGCTCTAGCAACCAGAAGACACAGAGATTAAGTATCTTTTGGGAAGTTTAGCTGCCTTTGCTTTGTGACTCATGTTTTGAGTGCATGCAACAGTTAGACCATGTTTAGAGTTAGGGTTTTCAAAGAACGGACATTGCTTCACTAAGTAGAAAATGTTCCAGATGATGTTTTATGCATTGTCAAGCCTTACTGAATCCTTCACAGCTTAATATTGTAAATGACTATCTTGAACAAGAGAAAAATTAGGAAGTTTTTCTCCTTGAGAGCTTTTTGGGTCGGGAACCATTCTTGTTTAATACATATATTGTTTAACATTGTTCTAATTTAGTAACTTGAAGAGCAGGAAAATTTTTCTAAAGCAAGCTAATGAATGAGAAGATGGGGCATGGGAATGTTTTATACTTTCTTCATTGGGACAACATTATGTTTTGTCATCACTGTAAATGCTTGAGACATAATGAATCCAGAGCATTCAAGTTAAGGTGTACTTGCAGTCTCCCCTGGAGAAGTGAGTTCTGCTTTTCCTTTCATGGGGGTCAAAATACAAAGATATTTTTGCTGGGGCCTAGAAATTGAATTTCAAAACACACTGCACTTGATTGATCATCTTTCAGTTAGAATTCATGGTTAGAGTGAACATAACTTGAGTTTTTGCTTTTGCAAAAGTTTTTCATAAGTTCACTCAAGAAAAATGCAGCTGATCTAAACTGGAATTTTTTCAGCATTCTTTAGAATTTTAAACAAGTAGAGAGCTCAACATTTATTTCTCGCATATGCTTTTAGTTCATTTCTCGGTAGTGTTTGTAAAGAAAACTTAAGGCACAAACATTTTGGCATTAGATACTTGGCAAATTATTGTCTGAAAGGCAGAATGAGAGGGTATCTTGGCCTCTTTAAACTGTCACCAGCTCTTCCATCGGTGTGGTTCTTGCACTTGAGTGATTACTTTCTTGTTTTATGTCTTTTGCATCCGGGCTCACCATTTCTGAAATCCAGATCCCACGCCGGCACCCTTGCTATTAGGGCACTTTGAAGCATATAGCAGAATATGCATATAGGCACTTACTGAACAGCTTATTCTTCTGTGACATATGGTTTCAAACATCTTTGCCAAAAGCTAAACAGTGGTTAGCTGAAAAGGTCACACTGCCCCAGGCTTACACCCAAGCAGCTTATAGCAGTAAAAATAGGATGACAGATATGAAATGACACTTGAATTTCTTTCTAGGACTGGCGCAGGAACGTGCTTGGTAGTTTCTATATGATACTCCGTTCTAGCAGCCCAGCACCGTGGGAACTGTTGTGCAGGGTGGAGTTTTAAGAACTTACATTTAAAAAGAGTAAAAGAGAAACCTATTTAGGCATCATAAGCTGTCATGTGGCAAAGGGTAATAAGGACCTAACCTTATAACCTTAAAAACACAATTCCCAAGAGCTTGTAAGAACCCAGTGCCTCCCACTTTGTCTCTCCTTTGAAGTGGATGGGAACTACTCAAGGAGCAAAGAACCTGTTTTGGAAGAAAGCTCTGGGCCATTTCAGCCCCGGTATTCTCATGATTTTCTCTCAGGAAATACACACTATGAATGGCAGACTTTGCATTTAGCCCCAGGTGATTTAATAAAAATTGTTCAAAATATTCACCTAAGAATAGAATCTCAGCCTTTTAGTTTTAAGTAAAAATGAAAATTTTGGAATGCACAAGATGTTAATATCTTAAAGAAAATGTACCTTTTAATAGAGAAATTTATAGTTTGACTCCAGAATGTGGTACTATCTGTCTTGATGAGAAAAAATTTAAATAGTACCAAACATTTTGAACCTCAAATTATGTATTTAAATTGAGTTTTTAACTAACTATAGCTGCTTCTCTTAAAAGTGGTGCCTATAAAAGTCAGTAATGACAATTCTCATTCCATTAAGGAAATTAAATCATGTAAGCTTCCTAATATCATAAACATATTAATATTCTTCTCTCCAAAGAATTGCTTATATTCTTTAAGTGACAACTTGACTATTTTTCTGATAAGCACATGAGAGTGTCTCACATTTTCCAAAAGCAGGCTTTTATTGCATTGTTGGGTCTAGGAAAGCATAACGTTAAAAGATAATAAGCCACTATAATTACTTAATTGTGTTAGAAACTATAGAATATTTACCTTGGAAAGAAAATATTAAAATATTATCAATTGTTTGATATTGATAGAATTCAAAATAATGCATGTTTTACATTATGACACAAAAATAATGCCTTTATTTTATAAACATAAAAATGTTATGATTTTCTAAATCTTTAAAGATCATAAATCAGTGGGCAATGGGTAGAGGAAATTCTGGAGAAAATGAAAGTATTCAAAGAAGGATAGTTTCAAAGTTATATATATTTTGAAGGACATATTTTATTAACAAATATATTGTAAGAATTTATATTAAAGTCATCTGGTAACTATGAGCTTGATACGTACGTTCAAAAGCAAATTTTATGGAAAAGCCATTCCAAACAGTTACCATTTCAAAGGTTGAGCTGAGCAAACTAAACCATCTGAATTCCTTCCTTGTTTCATGGGAAGAAGCAGCCCCATGAGGCTACATTCATCATGTAAGCCTAAGAATGTCCACTGTGATAAAATATATTTTTAAAAGGCATGTGTTTCCTATACCACCAGGATTTTTTTAAAATTGTGAAACCCAAACCGTTTATCATGTGCATTCAATACATTCATATATGTGATGAGGAAGATAGTTATGTGTTCCTTCTCCACAGTGGAAAAACCTCTCAAGGCTACCAAACGCCTGTCAAGCAGTGTGAGTCCTCGGATAATCAGTAATGGTGTCTTCCTCACAAGCATAAGAAAATAGTATCTTCATTTCTTACCAATGCAATTTTCAACCTAGTTTTGTTACATACCTATATCTCAAGCATTTCTAACTTGTAATTTTTCAGAAAACAAGCCAAAAATATTCCTTTGGCCTTTTCAGTCTTCTGACCTGGTGAATAACAAATGTAGAAAGAGGAGGGGTCTGATTTTTAAATGTTTTTTCACAATAGTTCTTTGGGTTTTTTTTTAATGAAGTGCCAATCAGCTTTTCAAAATGTTTTCTATTTCTTAGTATTCCCAGGGAGTTGATTTAGATAAATAAATGGACTTCCATCAACATATTTATGTTTCCTTGTTACTGGTGCTCTGGCCTTCAAGAAGAAAACAAGAGCCGCCTGAAGATAAATACAGGCTTTTTTCAAGCCTCTCTTTAAATACTGTTACAGCAATTTGAAGTTAATATGGTAGGAAAGGGAGGTGACTTTTTTTGGAAAAGTCTGTTTTAAAATTCACACTGTACTGAGAGAGGCTTTCTTGTTTTATTCCAGTATATTCCACAAGGTGGCACTTTCAGGGGGGAAAAAATCTGAGCAAGACTAAAAAGGTACTTAAATACATCACTTTAACTTTATTTTTCTGCATATATTTAACTCTTGCCTAGCACTTGTTTTTCAGAATGATTAATGGTCTTCATAATCTTCTGTAACAGACATTTTAGTTGTCAGCTAGAATCTGAACTATTGTCTGCAAGTAAATTGTTCTTGAGGATGGATAATACACCCATTTTGATGATTTAAGTGTGTAAAGAAAGCCTAGTCATTCATCTGTTCAAGAAACATTTTTTTGAGGTACCTAATTACCTCACTTTTCTAGGTATGGAAGTTACAAAGATGGACAGGCTTATTACTAAAAAGGCAACACTCATCTGTGAACAGGATAGTTTTGTTAGAAGTATAAAACTCCAGTGGCCCCAGCCAAAATACCCATGACCCCCTGTCTGCTGCTTTCACATTCCTTACTATGGTAGCCTTTAGATGTTGATCAAATTTTTAAATCCTTATTTTAAAAATCAGATGAACAAAATAAGTAATGCATCAGTAATTAAGTAGACAAAACTATTTTTTCTGAAGAATGGCAATGCTGAAACAGAGCCCTAAAATACTAAAAGACTTGTATAATCACAAGTGT